GTCGGGTGACTCGGGAGGTAGAAGCTTCCCCGGATCAAGCTCAGGGATTTACGTGGCTCCATCTTCATCTCACTGGAGTACTGGGGAGGAAAGCCACTTCCGCGGTGTGAGGCGGTTTGAGTGCTTTGTAAGCAGCCGAGCGCTGCCGTGGTGGTTGTACTGGGAAAAGTAGTCAGCTGTAGGTATCTGCTGTGAGCTCTGTGGTGAGGTTTGAGGGCTGAAGGACAGAGCAGGGCATTTTCAGCCTGGGGAAGAGAAGGCTGTGTGGAGATCTCATAGCAGCCTTCCAGTATCTGAAGGGGGCCTACAAGGATGCTGGGGAGGGACTCTTCGTTAGGGACTCTAGTGGTAGGACAAGGGGGAATGGGTTTAAACTTAAACAGGGGAAGTTTAGGTTAGATATAAGGAAGAAGTTCTTCACAGTGAGGGTGGTGAGGCACTGGAATGGGTTGCCCAAGGAAGTTGTGAATACTCCAACCCTGGAGGAGTTTAAGGCCAGGCTGGACAGAGCCTTGGGCAACATAGTTTAGTGTGTGGTGTCCCTGCTCATGGCAGGGGGCTTGGAACTAGATGATCTTAAAGTCCTTTCCAACCCAAACCATTCTATGATTCTATGCTTACAGCATCACCCTGGGCAGCTCTGCCGAGGGCTCCACGTTAGAACAGGCCTGGCAGCTTCTGCCGGCATGTAGTGAGTGTGGAAGGCATTTCTCTTAAACAGTATGATGATGTGTCGGGAAAGTGAAGTGCTAATATTTCTGCGTGAAAAAGGGGAGCTTTTATTAGCAGGAACTTAGAGAGCACTTGGTGTGCCCTACACACTTCAGGCACTGCTCATTATTCACATTCTCCCATGTGGTACTGAGGGAAACTTTTGTATTCTGCCTCGAAAATACATTTATATTTGAGATTGGTCTGACTGCAAGTACATAATAATGCTCATTTCTTTTTTTCTTCCCTTTGGAAAAGGCATTAAGACTAAGATATTTGGGAATGCAAGCTGTAACAAATGGTCTAATAATTCCACTTTTTGAAGAGCACTGTAATGATTTATGTTACTGAATGTAATCTGCATATGTGTTGAAAATACTTCTTTATTTTTCTTCTAAAAACCACTTCTGCTAAGTTACTGTTTGTGACTTAGGGACCCAAAGAGGACCAGGAGTCTGAGTCGGAACTAACTGTGACTCAACTGAAGGCGCTGCGTAAGCAGCAGCAGGCAAAATTAGAAAAGACAATGTTGGGAGAGGACTCTGATGAGGAAGATGAAAAAGAGGAGAAAAATGAGAGGAGTCAGAACACTGATATGAGCTGCTCATGGGGAATGGGTAAGTGATGATGTATAGATCTGCTGATACATCTTGGAAGGTCTTTAAGCCAGTTTTCAGGAAATACCAGGGTTGAAATTCCAGCTTCATGCCAAGTGTCCCACCCAGTGGAAGTTCTTGGGTACATATTGATTCTTTTCCTTTTAAAAAGAAGAGTGCTGTGACAAGGCAAGCTTGTATTTGGTGAGAAGTATAATAGAGATGATTTAAATGGGGGGTGGAATTTGCCTATGTCTGTAAAAGGCCATAAAACTGAGAGTTTAGGTTTATTCTTGTGATGGTGTCCACACTTTTGCCTGAGATGTGAAATTTAATTGCTTGAGACTTCTATGCAATATAGCTGTCTTTAAAGAAGTCCACATCTTAAAGCTAGATAAATGGTAATTAATGAGCTGTTCAGTACAAAAGGGGTTGGTTTTTTTTGAATGGAAATGTATAAGCACATAAACCCTTGAACATGATGAAACTGCATCTTATGGTAGAATAAGTAATAGTAAAAAGAAGCAGGGTTGTTTTTTGCTTGGATGCAGAAATAATATTCATGTTAAGGAAAATAATTTTGGGATGACATAGCTGCTACTTTTTTCAAACTAATAAAGTTGAAATGTACTGGTGATCTCTTTCTAACATTTCACCATATTTTTGCACTTTGTATACCTTGTAGGGGAGGATGCTGAGGAGGATGAGGTTGAAGAAAACCCTATTGCTATTGATTTTCAGGATGTACAAGATGCCTTTTATATGAAAGATCCTAGGAAGGCCTTACAGGGCTTTTTTGACAGAGAAGGTACTGTACTATTTTTCTAAGCTTAAAGTAAATTTTGTACTTACCAAAGCATGACATTTGTGTTCATGTTAGTCTTTGGGAATGAAGGTGTAGGAGGTAAACTTTTCTGTTACTTTGTGATCAAATTTTGAGTGGGGGTTGGTGGTGGTTTGGGGGTTTTGTGTGGTGTTGTGGTTTGGGTTTTTTGGTTATTTTGTTTGATTTGGTTTTAATGAAAACTTAGCTCACCATTGTATATCTGAGACTTACTTGGTTACTAATTCCTAAACTGGAAGTTGTAGCGAGAGTTGTATTCCTTTGGAGTGACACTCAAACTGCAACCATGCTTTGAAGCTATGCTGAAAAATTCAAACCCATCAAATTCCAGTCTGTTCTGTTTGGCAATGACTATGATTGTGAGGTAGAATTTGAAAGCTTGAAAAGCCAAAAGGTAATAATGAATTGCTCTAAACTTTCAATGGTTGCTAGTGAAACTTACAGATGACTTGCTGGTTTGCTAAAGTGGAAAATTCATCTTCAAGGTAATATCTGTGAATTCAGACTGAAAAACGTCATTACTTCAATGTCATTTATTTCAATACATACAGAGGCAAGATTGTTTTTTCTTTGAACTACCCTGTGAAATACAAACAAATGAGCATAGTACCAACTATAGATCCCATGGCAAATTCAGTCATTTAACAAGGGCAACTTATCTGTTTTGTTTAACCATGACATTCTTTTTTGCTGTAATAATTATTCTTGTTCATTTTAACTTGGTTACTACATTAACTTAATTTTCCTCTCTAGGAGAAGAGTTAGAATATGAATATGATGATCGTGGGCACAATAGCTGGCTATGCAGGATAAAGTATGTATATCTCCATTCACTTTCTCTACATAGAAGCTGACCTCACTGAATTCACAAACAAAACCTGAAAGAATTACTCGTCTTGTCACACTTTGCAAGGAGGCCAGCTGGAATTGGACTTAAGCCCTGATACTGAGGCAGAAGCTCAAGGATCAGTGCCTAGTTCAGTGTCCGCACTCCTATCTGGTCTGGCATCATTTGGTTTTCCTTAGAGAAAGCAAGAGTCTAGGTTCTTTGAGTTCCCCTAGTTTTGAGAAATATGTGAAATTGAAATATAAAAGAAGAAACTAGGAAACAATTATCTTTCAATTCCTAATTGGAGAGAGAGAAAAAAAATCTTTCATTCTAGAGTGTACCCAATTTCAGTTCTTTTATGGTATAAGGCAGTTTTTGGTGGGTTCCTGCAAGAGACCACTAACATAACTTTTTTATCAGACAGGAGAGGGTGAGGTGAAAATTAAGGCAAAAAGATAGGTACAACATTGCAGTGACTGTACTGCTTAAGAAACCTTTACTTCAGCATGGAAAATATTTGTTACTGGTGTTGCATGGATGCAAGATACTGGTGTTTAAAATGGTTCAGATAGTGACATTTAACCTTTTAACTTCTTGTATTCCCAATGGAATGAATATAGGAAGGGTTATTGTTTGGACTAGTGAAATAAAAATGTACTTTTGTGCTTTAGGAAATCTTTTGTTTTGATTGCTACTGTATAAAGTGAAAAGTGAATATACTTAACCCACCAAAAAAGACCAGAGTAAAATGGAAAGAACAATACCAAGATGATAAATAATGTATCTGAGTAGCATCTATAAAAAGCTGTTTGTATTTGAGCTGTTCTCTGATCCTTCAAACTGAACAGGTTGCCTGTGGATGATGCATCAGGGAAGCAGCTGGTGGCAGAGGTTCTCCACTCAGGAAAGAAGAAGGAAGCAATGATACAGTGTGCCCTGGAAGCTTGCAGACTACTTGATGCTCGGGGAGTACTAAGGCAAGAAGCAGGTGAATAACTAGTCAAACACCGAGATCGTTCTAAGGGACCTAAATTAGGGATTTGAGATGCTTGTCTTGAATTTGTTTTATTGGTATACAACTAATTTTGTTTCTTGTCTTCTCCCTTACCTTTCCCAGTATCCCGAAAAAGGAAATCCAAGAACTGGGAAGATGAGGATTTTTATGACAGTGATGATGACACCTTCCTTGATCGAACTGGTGCTGTAGAAAAGAAACGGCTGAACAGAATGAAAAAAGCTGGTAAAATAGAAGAAAAACCAGAGACTTATGACTCCCTGGTAAGAAGAATTGTTACGACATGCAAGTCTTATTCTCTCATGCACATATTATTACTAAGAAGGGAAATCGAAACTACTTTCTGATCTTTCTTTGTTAGCTTGAACTCTGCTATCATTTCAGACCTTTAGCTCTCATTTGGCCAAGTTACAATAAAAAAGTGGTGTTTTTTATAGATATTATCCACAAAGCAAATATCTCAAAATACCGCTTACTTTATTGAAGAGGTAACATACTGCCTTGCTTTTGCCTGTGCAGTATGGACTTGGTGGATCATGGCAGTGGATGAATGAAATACCAGAGCAGGCTACTTTTAAAATAGTTTTAAAGCATCAGAAAATAATTGCAAGCTTTCAGATGCACAGGGCACATACCAAAGAAGGATCTGATTCTGCTTCAAAGAATAAGCAGCCTGGACTGACAGGCATATGACAACTAAAAGCCCTACACGGACAATAGCATCTGGGGGAGCTCTGACAGGGAGGATTGGAGGATCACAGTGGTGCTGTAACATCACTGCAGAAGCATTGACATATTTTTGTGTTTCAGAAAGAAAATTATCTGAGCAGTATGTGAAAGGACTGATAGTTGTTTAGGAACAATCTCAACTATAATTTGTTCAGCCCAGCAACTCTGGTCAAAAATCAGAAGTAGATAAATTGAGGTAATTTGGTAGGATATTTGAGTAACTCTTAAAAGTGGATTTTAAGAAGATAAAAAGGTCCTCTAAGCATGTTCTTTTCTAGGTCAAAAAGCTAAGTGAAGCTGAAAATGAGCTTTCTGAGATAACAGAGAAGCTGAAGTCTTCAGGGAAAGGTAAGGCATGAAGTTTATTTGATCATAGTGCTTTTCATAAAGAGCAATAAGATAAAAATGTATTTTATGAATTTCTGTCTTAAGTGCCTTTTTCAGTGTCCACTTCTCACAGAGGGGTAGGAAGATTTGCAGGTCACTGAGTTAGCTGCAGAGGATACTTAACACTCTCCATCCAGTGTTTATGTACTATATGTGTATAGTCATTTGCAGCCTTTTCCAAAGCAAGCAACATCTAAGTTAAGGTAAGGAGGTGAGTGTACAAGCCCCTGGAGCTTAAGAGGGTGAACATTGTTACTGGTTATCTGCCCACATTAGTGAAACTGACTCAATATGAGGAACACTTTTTCTCATGACCTCCAAAACTGTTTATAAGGGAAGACTAAACTGACAGAAAAAACAGTAAATTTTTATTTCACTTCTGTCCTTGTAAATGCACCTTAAAAAGGAAAGGTGGGTGAAGAAAAATGCGGAGTCAAAACAATTAATGCTTAGTTCATATGTTCAGTGAACTTGCTAGCTTAAAAGGGTACCATTCAGGTTCTAGGATAGTGCCTTTGTGTACAAAGGCAGAACTTTTCCAAAGTGGTCATTGTATCTGGTAGTGAGTTAGATTTAGAAGCATACTTATACAAATAGCTGCATTTTGCTTTCTGTTACTGATGGTATTTTGTGGAATAAAGGGAATGCATGAAGGAAACGTGTTTAGGCTCGTTCTTCATACAGAAACCTGTTTAACAGAGCTGGCATTACTAAATGTTCCAATGTCATTTTGTCAGAAGAGTTTCTCTCTATGAAGCCTAGCAGCAATCTGACAGCTGGTCTATCTTTAGTGCATTATACAGGTATGTTTCTTTCTAGTAATTCAGCTCCATGCCAAAACTCATTTGTATCAACATTTCTGTCGGCAATTGATTGTAACATCCTGTTCGGGAAACAGTAGAGTTCCACTGAGCATTCTCACTGATGGGTTCGTTCAGTGTGTCTGAAGGAATTGTTTTCAACATGACTGTTTTGATAAGTAGTTAATGATTGACTAGCAAGAGAAGCTAATTCTTTATATTGCTAGAGACATGGCATTCCAAACTTTCATATGTTATGATGCCTTTATTTCTGCTGATACTGTTTCTCAACACCACTGTTAAGTCATATTATAGTAGAGATTGGGAAGTATCAGTTAATTTTTGGGCTTCGACTAACACCCATATAATACTGATATATGTTATTGTGATTTGGTAAATTGTAACTGATTACACAGCTAGTTGAAGTCTTGGAAAACTTGCAGTCTCAGCACTTACTGCAACACAGAGTAATTCAGGCCAGGGTAAAACGTAGCAAATACTGCACTATCAGTTACTTTGTGTATGTGTTTTTTAGATGCTTGTGTTTTATTTCTTTAGATGCTTGAGGTTAATCACAGATGCTGAGTACAAGTGTAAGCCAGGAGCATGCATATTGATCATGCGTGATGCTTACCACTGGCATGAACTGTCTGGCAAATTTGCCGCATTACATACAGTTCTGAAACCTTAATGTGCTTTTGCTTGTTCTAAATGAGTATTTGTAGCTTAAGGGCAAGAGCACAGAGAGACCAATGAGTGAATGACAGGCTAAATTGCAACACCTCTTAACAAGCACTTGGAGAAATTAAATGCTTGTCTAAAAAATCACAGGAGTTCACAAATTGTTCTCTGGAGTTTTTCAGAACTAATGACTGATGGACTGACTTGATATCTCTCATTCACTGATGCAGCTGAATGAAAATCAAATGCATAGAGCTTTTCAGTCTCATCCTTGCTTACCCATTCAGAAGAAAATTATCAGTAAGTTGATGGTGCAGTAAATAGCCCTATATCTTTATGCGCTGGAACATAAAGTGTAATAACCATGGTTGATTCACCTTCTAGCAACATCAAATTTTACTTCAGTAATGTAGAAAACTGCTGCAACAGATACTGAGTGCTAACAGTAACCATGTAAGCTGAATTACCTGATCTTAGGGACTGTTGGTAGAATCAAGCAGAGAATCCCATTTGCAAGAAGGGGTGATCTAACTTGCTGAAGATCACTTGCTGACTGAAACACTTACGGTTCTGCAGATAAAGAAACAAGGTGCACCTTTAATTGTTCTGAATTATCTGACTAGACACTAAACCATACCTTTGAAATTTGGTGTTTAAATTAAATGATCATTCTGCTCAACTCCTGCCTGCTAGGAGCTTCAGACTGTTAACAATATATTTTCATTGATGTTTTTTGTCTTGGTTCATATAAGTAGTTGCAAGGAAGAGTATTTCTATCCAAATGTCTTTTATGACATGTTTCGTCATCATTTATAGTTGTGTGGAGGTGGATGCTACAGTTTCTTGGGTTTTGAAGCCTCTTAGTTCTGTATATATTTGAACAGTTCCTGTTGTGGCATTCATATACTTGCAAATTATAAACTGTGTTTTGTTCTAGGTCAGAAATACCCTTTTCAATTGAGTCCACATATAAACATAAGTCTTACTAGACTTTTTTATAAATATTTGTCACGTAAAACTGCTTGAATGTGTACTTTTAACAATAACTTCTGCTATTTTATTGAAATTTAAAATGTGCTACTTTAAATACAAAGTGCTATTTAATTAGCTCAAGCTGAACTGAAAGTAACTTATTGTTTGTATAATTATGCTTGTGTGTATATACATAAATGCTTCTAATGCACCAAATATCAGATTTGCCACTTTCCATATAACCCTAAAAGGCAGAAGGAGACTGCCTGTCAAAATGCTCATTGAAATTCTAGCAACAGAATTTTTCTTTGTTTGCATTCAAGGGTTTTTTTTGAACACCATAAAAAAAACTTGTTCAAGCCCAAGAAAGGAGTTTTTCTGTGGATTTTTTTGTTTGGTTATTTGGAATCCATGTGTTAGAATTCTGTAATCATTTTTCTTAGTCATTAGAGCTTTAGTTTTCCCTCTTAATTCCACAAATATGAACAGAATTATTAATATTTGAAATCAAGTGGAGTAGAAAGACTGATGCTATTCTTTTTCAAGTACAAAGCAGTGTTTTCTTTTTAGAAAATCCACTCAAAACAGAGGTAAATCTTGTGTGATTGACCTAACATATGAAACTATTCTTCTATGCGCTCTGTCATCCAGGGGTGGGAGGCAGCATCATGTGTCGATTTGAGCCTTGCAAATGTTATTATATAAACATTCCAGGAAAGTCAAAATGGGATTCCCCATGCAGTAGTGTGGGATTCTTTGTAGCTGTGTTTATTTTAGTCTGTGAGTACAAATAAAACCCGTAAGCCAGTTTAGGACAGCAGATCTTGCAGTGAGATGAGTAACTTAGAATAAAGACACTTACTCATAAAGAAACTTTCACTTTTAAGAGAGGCTTTGTTATGTAAGTGGATGAAAGTTTACTGTGAGGCTTTTGTTAGGAGAAATGCTTTCATCTTCAGAGGGCTAACAACCTCCATTATTTCACCATTCAACAGAAACTTGCAGAGAGGATAGTTTTTCCTATATATGGTGTTCTTTAAAGGTAGGACTTGAGCACAGCTGTCATCTCCCCACTCATAACAATACGTTTCTGCCCTTTATCTTGCCTAGTCCACTCCCAGCCAGCACCTCAAGATTCCTTGGATGAATTCATGACTGAAATAAAATCAGGATCTACCTTAGACAGTGTGGCACGAAAGAAGCTTCACTTGAGGTCCTTTGAACTGAAGAAAGAGCAGCAGAGGCTGAAAGGGTTAATAAAGCTTGTCAAGCCTGCAGAACTGCCTGAGCTGAAGCCCCAGTAAGTCTTGGCTAAAGTGTAAAACAATTGCTTTTACCATTGTTGTTATCCATGGGCAGTTGTACAAACCCAGTAAATAAACAGCTTTCGAACACAAAGGCGCAATGGCTCTCCAACCTACCTGGCCAACCTACCTCTTCAAAGAGCCACTGTGCCTTTTGGGCATTGCAGCATCTGTGGTTGAGGCAGATGCACCACAATGTTAAAGTAAGATAAGCCCGCACTGGGAGGACGAGAAGGAGAAAGGATTGGAATCGTGGTGTCAGCTTTCCTACTTTTTTTCCCAACCTGCATCGAAAAGGAACTGAGGAATTTTACAGGTATTATGTACAGCATGAAAACCACTTTAATTCCGTGAAATGTACCTGGAAGTCAAGTGTAGTGGCTGTTCAAGTACTGCCTCGCAGCACTGCAATTCAAGAGGGTGTGTGCTGGGTTCATCATTTGCTAATGGCAGCTTAATTAGAGGCTTAATTAATTAGTTTACTTAAATTGAGGTTTATCCTCCAAGTGTGTTTTTATATATGCATATATATTATATGCATATGTAGGTGTGTGTGCAGTTGAATTTGAAGGAGTCTGTGATACAGGTTTTTTCCTCCTTATTTGTTTATTTTTTACTTCCTGTTATGACAAGTGTCTGAATTCTACAACACGTGTAGTATGGAGGAGTTGTCTGCAGCTTCCTCCTTGGATGCTGCAAGTGAGAGAGAAATAAAAGGATTTTTATATATCCACTTTTAATTTGCAGATTTATTTTTTTTTTCATTTGTAAATGTAAGACTGGTTTGGTACTATGTGCACTTTTTTCCTTTGTGTCTATTTTTTTTATTAGGAGTGGGAGTTACGGTCTGGAAGCAGAGGGCAAGCCTAAAAAGATTACCCTGCCTCTATTTGGTGCAATGAAAGGTGGGAGCAAATTCAAGCTGAAAACTGGAAGCCTAGGGGTAAGTTTGGCTCATAAGAGCTGCAAGTCAGAGGCTGTTTCTCAGACATCTTCTCAGGCTATGGAGATTATAGGTGGCAACCATGTCTTCTCACATGCAAGGAAACAGCATGGAGGTGCAAGCCTGTGGCAGTGGAAGGTGCACAGGGCAGCAAGCAGTGGCTGTTGAATGTTTGCTGCCAGCAGTTGCCATTCTTTGTCCTTGTGCAGCAGTCTTCTGGGCACAGCTGTGGTCAAAAGGCAATGAATCAAGTAGAGGCAGCCTGGGGGCATCAGGCTGAACCACTGCTATACCTCAGGAGTTTTTCTTGATCTTATAGCTAAGATCATATCCAAGATTGATTCTGTTTCCAGTGCCCTCTTATGAAAAGACTGCACTCCTTGTCTATGGACTGGATATATTTTTTCATCTTCTGTCTCTACTAATAACTTTTCCTTAAAACCTAACTATTCTTCATCCTGAGAGTGTTTCCTTACCAGCTGTCTCTGACAGTAATGTGTGTGCTTTCTCCTGTAATGTGTATCTGTGGCATCTGCCTCCATTTATCTTAGCACTGATGCACAGCTCTTTCTCCCACAGAAGTTGCCTGCTAGGCGTCCAGAAATCCCTGAAAGCTTGTTAAAAACGAAAGATGATGGACCAGAGGAGGAGGAAGAGGAAGAAGAAGAAGAAATGGAGGAGAAACAAGAAATAGATACAAGGAACAGCAGAGCATCAAACGTGGAAATGAAAATTACAGCAGAAGAAGAAACAGGAAAAGAAGCTAATGCTGCTGATGATTCTTCTTGCAATAGCAAGAATCTAGAATCCCTTCAAGATGGTAAATCATTAGGTTTGATTTTTCCAGTAATGAAGCAGAGTCTGTTATTGCTGAATTTTTCAGTTATGTGAATCTCCTAGTGCCTGAGTCACAGGTTCTCCAGGTGATTTCTTTTCCGTTGATTTTTGCCATGAGTCCAGTCTGTGTGCCAACAGCTGAATTTCACGTGGTTCCAGTTAAAACTCCCCTTGGCAGTATGCTCTTCATGTTTTTGGTGAAATAGAAGAAATCTCCTGTACTCAAGAAAAGCCCTATTTTGATGAGTGTCCTGGGTTCAACTGTAACACTTATTTTCCTCCTTCCTGTTAACTGGTGCAGTGCGTTGTTTCACTTTTAGTCTGAGAATAATGCTGATAACACAGCAGTGTTTTAGTTGTTGTTCAATAACACTTACCCTGATCAAGGACTTTTCAGTCTCTCATGCTCTGCCAGTGAGGAGGGGCACAAGAAGCTGGGAGGAAGCAGAGACAGGACACCTGACCCAAAGTAACCAAAGAGGTATTCCATACCACAGCACATCATGCCCAGTATAGAAACTAGGGGGGGAGTTACCCAGAATGACGGATCTCTGCTCAGGTCGGGTTGGGTATTGGTCAGCAGGTGCTGAGCAATTGCATTGTGCATCATTGCTGTTTATTGTTTTTTTCCTTTCCCTTTTGAGTTTTGTGTTCTCTCCCCTTGTTATTTCCCTTATCCTTAGTAATAGTAGTAGTTTATTATACTTTAGTTACTGGACTGTTCTTATCTCAACCCGTGGGGTTTACATTCTTTTGATTCTCCTCCCCATCCCACCTAGAGGAGGGTGAAGAGGGAGGTGGTTCTGAGTTACCAGCTGAGTTTAAACCACGATAGTGAGTCCAGCTTAGATTAAGTGTCCATATAAAAACAACTACAATGCATTGTTGGCAGGGAGAGTGACTTAATAAGAAAAAAAAAAAAAGTGTGTGTAAAGCTTCAGATCTGTTTGTAAGGAGGGAAAATAATTTTGAAGTGTCAAGGGAGAGGTATCTTCTTGCATCTGTGTGGTTTACTTCCATTCCCTCCTTTTCTATATCGTCTTGATGCGTTTGAAAACTCAGTACTGATGTTTCTCAGTAAATGATGTTTGATGACAAACCTAATTCTAACCTTTTGTCTTAATGCTGGACAAATTACTCTCATGTTTTAATTGTTTACAGGTTTTTATTTAATATTGTATTGCGATGGACTTGGTACATGAGGTAATTTGAAGGATTTTTAAGAGAAGTTCTTCCTGTGACAGATGTAGCCAAGAGTTCCCTTTTGTGCTTTATCTTGGGGATGCTAGTACTCTGTCGTGGTTTAAGCCCAGCCAGCAACTTGGAACCACGCAGCCCCTCGCTCACTCCCCCCCTCTTCCTTCCTCCCCCCGCTCCCAGAGGGATGGGGAGGAGAATCGAAGGAATGTAACTCCCACGGGTTGAGATAACAGCTCTCCAGTAACTAACGTATAATACAAACCCCTGCTGCTACCAATAATAATGATAAGAGGAATAACAAGGGAAAAGGACACAACCGCTCACCCCCCGCCGACCGATACCCAGCCCGACCCGAGCAGCGATCTGGGCCTTCCGGGTAACTCCCCCCAGTTTATATACTGGGCATGACGTGCTGTGGTATGGAATAGCCCTTTGGCCAGTTTGGGTCAGGTGTCCTGCCTCTGCTTCCTCCTGGCTTCCCCTCCTCTCTGGCAAAGCATGAGACTGAGAAAGTCCTTGGTCAGAGTAAACATTACTGAGCAACAACTAAAAACATCGGTGTTATCAGCATTGTTCCCAGACTGAAAGTCAAAAACACAGCACTGCACCAGCTACTGAGAAGGAGAAAAAATGACTGCTGTAGCTGAACCCAGGACATACTCTCTACTCATCAGAGTTACTGCAGAGTGCTCATCAAGCTCCTTCTTTTTTTATTTTACAGGGGTTCCTTTTCTGCCGGAGCCCAAGGTACTAAGGAATGAATCTCAGATGGGACAAGAGAAATCTCAAGGTGATCAGTGCAATTTAGACTCTGTTGTACAGTAGCATGTTTAGTTAGTCTGAAGGACTTAACTGTCTTCTCTCAGTAGAAGGAAACTAAGCTTAATGTAGAGCCTAAAAAAAAATCTAGAATTGAAATAAAGGATTGTGTTTTGCTTGGGAAGTGGTAAATGTATGGTGAAGACAGGTCACTTCAACTACAGTTCTCTTTGCTTTTCATAGTCATGAATTTCTTTGAGATCCTTTGTTAAAAAACAAAAAGAATGAAAAGAAAAATTATTTTAATTTAGGAGCTTAACCATAATGCTCCCCACCCCCTGCCCTACTCTCTTGCAGTAGCTCTTAACACTAGGAAGGATAGAACTAACTTTTATAAAGTGACAAATATTATGTAACGTTAGCTAATAATCTGTTAATGACCCGGGTGACCCATCTACATGTACATACACAAAAAAGATGAAAACTGGTGTACTGAACATAGAGGAAATCTATATGAATATTCAATTTTTTCATTACTCAGACTCTTCAGAATGTTACCCTGTCCTCATCATCTCATCCATAGACTTTACGCCACAAGAGTCTCAGTATTTCACAGATTAAGTGGCAGAAGAACAAGGCATCCTTCTCTCTCTTCTGTGTTCCACTCACAAGTTTTGGGGGTTTTTTTGGTTGGTTGGTATTTTTAAAAATATACGTTGGTCCTGTGCATTTCATACCGTTTCCTTCTAAATCAATCCCTGCAGTGATTACAGATAGAGAGCATCTTTTACAAAGTAAACTTCTGACATTAACTACAGTGTGTTATAGAATACCAAGTAGAGGACCTTATTAAACTGCATTCAGGTAGGTGACTGGCAGTGTATTAAATATATGTTAAATCTATGAAAAACAAAAAGATGTTTAGCAATCTTAAGTATTAATTTTGTTGCAGTGAGCTGTCTTGGATTTCCTTTTGGATGTATCCATTTTTATGGATAAACTTACTACAAGCTTATTTCTAATACAATTTGTCATTTGTGATGTGTTATAAACCACATCTTTCTTTCCAGCATCTGAGGCAGTATGTAAGGAACCTGAAGAGACATCTGAGGAAGTTAAGAAAATCAGCAGCTCAAGCAAGGTCAGTTACAACACCATGACTCCTGCAGTTTAAGAGTTTCAGGAAATCATTTAGTAGGCTCTTCTATAGTGGAATGGTAGCAGTTTGATTGAGTATGACTTGGTGGCAGTAGTACTTTTCTGCTGTCGAAAACCCAACTCTAGAACCACATAGTGCCACTGGACACAGATTTTGGAGTTTGTAATGAAAAGGTAAAGCATGGGATTTCGAGCATGATAGAGGCTCTCAATTCAACCACAAATTTATTTTTTCACATTTTCACTTGGCAGTTAGCTTCTGCTGACTGCTGCTTCTCCTGTGTCACAAGTGTTGTATAACACAGGTGCTCTCTGGCCTTTGGAATGATGTTGCAAAACTTTCCTTGGAGAGTAGCATGGGAAGCATGTATTGGCTGGCACAGAACATGCTGTACTAAAACTGTAGCTTGTCTGTATTGCTATTATTAAACCTGATTTTTTTCTGCAAGATGTGAAAAGACATGAATCTAAGAGATTGTCTTTTGCAATCAAATTATTACCAAATCTGAGTGGATGTACCAGGTAACATTTCTCCTGTGCATGAGATTTTATGTGAAGTGTATGAGCCTTGCACATTTTAGGGCACAGGCAATTGTTGCCTTCCTGGAGCTGGGAAGGAACTTCTCTGACAGCATGCTCTTAGCTTAATGATTATTGTGAGGATTCCCTTTAGAGTCCATGCCACTCTTCTGCTGACTGCCATCAAAGAAAATTACTATACTTGGTGGGCCATGAGTTCTGACCATTATGACAGTTTCTTTGTGGTGGGCATCTAATTTAGCCCAGCACCACTTACTTAAAGAAACTTAACTCCCTGCGGCATCTGTGTGGTAACTGCTGCCTTGTTAGTCCTGGCAGAGGACCCAAGGATTGGGTAGGCACAGCCTTTAGGATTGTCCTTTGTTACCAGCCTATAAGGTTGATAAAGAAAGCAAGAGTGAGTGTACACTGTTAAAGCCCAAGTTACACTATTTCTATGAATATGGAAGAAAAGGCAACTTCTCATGCTGAGACAGCCAAGTCAGCACCTCTTACCAGCACAGAGTTCACTCTAGCACTGGGCATTCTGCAAATGCCAGATGGCTTAGCTGTATTCTCTGTCCCATCACAAATCACTTTTTCCACATGCTATCTCTGCCTTTGAGCTCAGATCTTGCATGGAAAATATGAACCAGAAGTCAGCTTCCCCCCTCCTTAATATTTGAGAAATAACTTTGAATCATGTAAAAGTGGAAAAACCATTTTAAAATGACTGTTCACAAGCCATATTTAAAAACTCTGCAGTCCAATGTTTTGGAAAACATTAGTCTTCCAAAAGAACTGTTTTAGAGGTAGATTTGGTGAAGGAAAGTTTTTGAGGTAGTGAAAAATTGCTTCAGTTGCATAACTTAAGACTTTGTCATGTTACTACAGAGTATTACAAATCAGTGCAGAGTAACTTGGTATTCTACAGTTGTATGAATTTTTTTTGATAGCTGCCTGCAGTTGTTGAGAAAATGATGCTGATTTGGCAAAACCTAAAAATCTAGGGACAAAAAGACATTGCTGTGTCAACATTTGCATTCCGAATGGCCTGTTTCGGTTTGCTTTAAACATTTTGCTTTACACATGTTGGTGATGCCAGTGAGACCGGAAAAAAAAACGGCGTTTCTTTTTTTATTAAAAACTAAATTATCCTTATGTAACAGCTTAACTTTTCTACACTCCAGTTTCAAAGTCACCTTAAACCCAAAGGTTTCAGTGGGATTGTGCATTGAAATCTGTAAAGGACTTCTTGAAAATCATACTCTAAGTCTTTTCCCCTGCATAAAGAAATTCAGTGTTGAATGACACTACCAAACATTAGGATGACAAGATTAAGCTGTCCAGAACAGGACAGTTGGCAGTGGTTCTGTTCTGGGGGGGAGATTGGATAGGATGACCTTCAGAGGCCCCAGCTAACCTGTATTTCTATTATGCTGTGACTCTACTGGGAATAAACTGCATCTATTTAAGGGTTTGATATTTCTTCTTCCCTGTGTTTTATAATTTTCACTCCCAACTCTAGTAGAAATAGCCCTCACCTTTCAGTATTTGTCTCTGAATTAATGAGAGATTTAGTGGCTGTAACACATCGCTGTAGAGGTGCCTCACTTTGAATCTTTTTTCTTTTGCAGGCAAAACAACCACCATTTTTTTCCTCACAGTACCCAGATGATGACCCAGACTACTGCATATGGGTTCCTCCTGCAGGTATCAACCATTTCCTTACCCTTTTTAGTCTTAAAACTCAAGAATCTACCTAATAAGTAGTCTGGGTATCCTTGTAACTTCAGGAGAAAAAGGTTGATCAGGAATACTTCACCCAGAACCTGCTGTTTTCTGGCATTTTACACCCCATATCTGCTGTATGGCCATGCAAATCTTGTGGTGAAATATAGACCGTATCTGTAGTAGCTTCATCTCAATGGACAGATACAGCTGAGGTTTGCTTCTCGGTTTTCTAACACCTGAGAGAGCTAACTCCAGTCACACAGAGTAATATGATGATCTAGTTGAAAGACAAGCTCAGACCTTCACTACAGAATGTCTGCAGCTATCTCAGTATTCTCAGTTTTCATAGAAGTCTGTGAAATCTGAAAATCTGCTTTGCAGATTGTTTCAAAAATCATTGGAATACAAACTTTGGGTCATGTGTTTTGGAGAGAAGTCTTGCTAACGCTTTGGTGAAGGCACTGAGTAATAAATGCACACACCCAATATGTTAAAGTTGTACAAATTTTTTTACTTTAGTTCCAGAGTGCTTTTAGCCAAGTGAGGTTATTCTTAAACAGTATAATTATGTTTCAGTTTTTCCAAAATGGAAGATTCATTTTCATGCATTGAGGTTTTTATAGCAAGTTCAAAGCTTAGCTATCGTTTGGTAGATTCCTTACTATAATTTTTATAAGGCTGTTGCAGGCTTATAATATAGATAGGCTCCAAAAGGAGTGAGAAGAATGCAAATAAATTTCACTGAAGAAAACTATAATCTGGTGAATCATCCTTCCGGGAAAAGACTGCTCTGCTCTGCTCTGCTCTGCCATATGAATCCTCTGGAACAAAGCACCTGATTCAGTAATGTGGAGACCTGATGTGGGATAGGCAGGCAAGCTGTGTCCATAAGAGGGAGCTCGTTTTTCTGTCTCTGCCTGCTAGTAAGACCTGTTTGCTAAGATGGCATAATGAGTATACAAGGCAAAAACAAAACAAAAACCATACAGGAAAATAGGGTGTAATTTTGACATTTAGTAAAGTTACGAGGAATTATACGTATAAATCAAAAGATGATTTGAATTGTAATATCCAGTCTGACTTTTTATCTTCTTTGTGGTTGTCTGACTGCTGCTGCCTAGAGACTATTTCATGCTTGGATTACACATTTATCTTGGAAAAGAGAGGGAAAATTAATGCAACTCTTCCTCTTTGCCTGTTAGGTCAAAGTGGTGATGGCAAGACTCATCTCAACGAAAAATATGGCTACTAAGCATCAAGTGCCCTTGAGTACAGCTGCGGCTTCAAGGATGGCTCTGTTTTGGACTCTCTCACTACATGTTATGTGAGGAATGAAAGACTTGGCTTTTCAGAAGCTGTTCCAGATTCAAGGGCATTAGCAGCCACTCTGGCTGCTGTTAGCTCTCCTTGTGTGTTCTCTGTTTGTCTTCTAAATACTTTTTTAAAAGTAAAAGCCCACACATTCTCTTGCCTCTCCTTCCACTTTTATCCTTATCCTTTTTATTTGGCTTGAAACTGTAGGCTCAATTTTCCTTTTGTAAATAAAAGTATATAAAAAAATACACCTCTGTATACTTAAGGGTGTGATAAAATTTATTCTTGTTGGTTTTATGCAATTAAAATGAGAAACACTACTGGTTTGCTGCTTTGGCTGCTGTTCAAAAAGACTATCATGGTAAACACAAGCTAAAACTTGAGGGTTTGGTTTTGTTTTTGGTTTTTCCTATGGAAAGAAACTATTTTGAGAAGAAAACTGTCTTCACTTCTTCCTTGAGCAGTTGGTGGAGTACTTGGTTGGGAGAGGACTGGAAAGTGGGAGCATGCAGTGTTTTTTATAGATATATGTATGTGTATATAGACATATATACACACACACATATCAAGGTGTAGAAATGCTAAAGAACTAAAGAGGCTGGCACTACTTATCAGAGGGTAACAGAAGAAATTTTGGAAAGGTATTATGAGCTGGAAAAGCTTATAATGAAGCTTTTCATTATAATCCTTCTGTTGCAAAACAAGAGCAAAGCATCATCTTAATGCAATTTAAGGCATGCGTGCTCTTGATTTATCACAAATTAATTTTGAATGTCTATATAATTAGGCTATGAAATTCTGTGTATTTATATATGTGCCTGTTTAGTGTATATATGCTATATATATTTAAAAAAACATTTAAATATCTATAAAAATGCAGGTATAAATTGGATGATTCCCAGTTGTGCCAGAGCCAGTGTTGTGGTAAAGGCATGGGTCACTCGGGACAGCTGAGGGATGGTAAATCTCTAGGCAAAAACATAGAGTGGCAGGGAAGGCTGTAGAAATGCTAGTGTTGAACTCCAGGGTCACACATCCTTTGCCTTGCTTCCACTGGGCAGGGGATGCACCCCTGTGGCTAAATTGCAGGAGGGCATGTCAGAAGCCGGGGAAAAGAGATAACTGTACAACTCCTCTGGTTCTTGCAGGGGCAGTGTTGGAGCAATGGAGCTCACTCCAGTTTTACCCTATAGAGAACATAAAGCAGTTTGGCACTTAACATTTTGTAGGGGTTTGCTTTATATGCTCAAGCTGCAAAACCAGCATCTTTCTGCCTGTCATCTTCAACATACTTAGCTTTTTTTTGTCAGCATCTGTGCACCAGGCTGGGCAGCCCGATGCTCGCTGCTTCTGGCACAGACATATCTTTACATAATCCAAGGGAAGGCTGTCACCCCTCTATTCAAAATGCCAGATCTCACAGGTTTCGCAGCCTCCGTAGCCCTTTTCCAGAGCTTTGTTCCAGGGTGCACCAGGCATGTGCAAGGACTCCTGTTCATTGCTGGGGGTGCGCAGGGCCTGGCAGGTGTCAGACAAAGTGCAGCACAATCGGAACAATAGTTTGCCAGTTACGCTCATGAGAAGCACACGGAGAAGAGCTTGTGAGGTGGGTACAGCTTTACTTTGATGATGCCAAAGCAGGTGGTCAGAGACCCAAAATGCTCAGAAAAAGGACTTCCCAAGAGGTTATGTCTTAGTTTTGTTGATGAAATTATAGGGGCTAAAAATCAAAATCACAGTGATGTATCTCTTCATCAGGGGCTGCTTTGTAGTACAGGCAAATGCTATTTGTCCCGCTGCCAAAAAGCCACATCTCTGAGGATCAGGGACTGGGCAATTTGGTCCTGGCTAAGACCATGAGCTTCCCCATCTGTTTCTTTTCAAAGAGGCTCACTTGTGCCTCTGTAGAGATCTGATGGTAAATCCTGCTCTCTTTCGGTGTTCTATCTTTTGTTGCATTGTGTAATATGAATACCCAAAGGTGGTTCTCATCACTGGGTTCTAGTCATTTCCATGGTAGAATTCAATATAGCTGTGGAAAAAGCACCCATTATATTTGAAAGTTATCATCCCATCAATAATCACTTAGCCATCCCAAAAGTAGGTTCTCAGTTGATGCTCACAGCCACTTAACACACAACAGGGTTATATATTTTTGGCCAGGTACATCTGTTATTTGTAAAATATCTCTTTCCTCCAGTGATAGCCATAAACCAGCATGTGTGTGTGTGCGCAAGTAGGGGCTGCCATTTTAGGCAGAAAGAGATATACACAGTGATAAACCTTCACCTTTTCATCACTCCTTCTCGTCCACTATGTGATGGGCCATCGCCATAACCTTTATTTCTGTATGATCTGCAGGCCCTCAACATTCTTTCATCTTGCTGCCAATAGTAACTCGGTTCTTACTGCAAGTCAAAGATCTCCTGATGATCTGTGTATGTGTCAAGAATTGTTTTTTTCTTTTCCTAAAGCACCATGCTTGCATCCTGTCATGATTCTGTTGTGGAAGAGGGCATACATAACTCTGATTTTCAGCAGCATTATAAAAATGGAAGGAATAACTTTTGCAGCCCTTGATACCCAGCACTTGGGGAAGGCTGCTTAATTTCATGGTTAAAAAATGCAGAGACTCTATGAAAACAAAAACTAATTGCACATCAGTTTGGCACCCTGGGTGATTAATTACACACATTTTTCTTTCAGAAGCTGGCTGACAACTGAGCAGCCATCGTAGCCTTTGGCGTAGCCCTGAAACTTTGTGTCATCAAGAAGCTGACTGAAGTCCACATGTGACCTTAAGTGCCCATTCCCTTTCAGTTTTCCTCTCCACTCCTTCTTCATCCCACAGGGCACCTGGCACTAACCACAGCAAAAACGTCATTTGGGCCATGTGCCCAGTTTCCTCTATGTGTCCCATCTCCTGGAGAAGAGATCCCTGCCCTGCATCTGGAGTTCTGATCATGGGCGTGGAGCACTGCTGCTGGCTGACATTACAGGTCTGTTCCAGGCTCAACATTTGAGATGCTTTTCCACATAGTTCTTGCATTTTCACATAAAATCAGAGCCAAACAATCTGGGTTCCCCAGACCCACACAGCAGCCTGCAGCTGGGGCATCTGCTTGTGGCGTTGTTAGTCATGCAGCAAGCAGACACAGCAATAATATTTACAGCTCTGAGTGTGATCATAGCATGAATGGCAAAGCTCACAAAGGTTTCTTACCCGAATACCTTTCCTGATCTCCCTAACATCATAATGATGTTGACTGTGTCAGAGGAAGAAACAGGTCTTGAGATATCTAGGACTGTTGCGTGGCTTAAGAATCTCCAGCATCTTTTTTCTGCTCAGGAGGGTGATGAGTATATTAACACACAGCATGTCTTCAAACAAGGGAATCCTGCTCAGCACAACCTGCCTGTGCACAGGACACTCTTCTTTCATGGAGCTCTCTTGCTCTGCTCAACACTTCAGAATCAGTCAGACCCCACGCTGCTGTGAGACCTCCAGCAAAACAGAGATAAGCTTCACTGGTGACTCTTAGCTCAATCATACAGCACCACTTTTTGTCTGTAACATTAGAACAAAGATAGGCTGCAGGGTTCTGTGTACCCTATTCTTAACAGTTTATACTGTAAGAGTAGCTGGACGGACCGTCTGATCGCACCTCAGCTTTCCCTGACTTCGTACAAATGTACTGACTCAGTCTGAAACTTGTTTCTGAATTCATAGTGCTCAAATTAACAGTGGAAGACTCTAGTTGGAGCTGTGCATGCAGGCACTTTGGGACAGAACAGAGAAAAATCACCAAGATCAAACATCTGGCACAAGTCATCAGAAAATTGCTCCACACCCCAAACAGTGCTTTCTGAGCTTCGTGTCGCAATACCTCATCCAAACTAACAAACCTGTACTTTTCCATGTACTGCCCAGCCCTGAGCCTCTGGAATGGCCATTCCCACTGCTCTGTGTGCCATTTTTTCCCAGATGCCCTTGAGGCTTAGTGATTTTGACCCAGCACTGTTGCATTTTCTCTCCACTTCTTTCAATACCAAAAATTAGAGCAAACAGCCTCCAGATGGAGCTCATGATGCACAGACATCACCACACCATAAGTCTCGTCTGATCCAAAGAAAGGAAGCCCTGCTGTATCTGTGGATATCATCACCTGGAGAATGCTTCTTCTTGCTTATCCAAGGAAAACTGAAGCTACACGTAACACTGCTTTCAGGAATGGAAAGGAGCATTCATAAGGTCTTTCAAAGCATTCAAAGGAACATAACACCTATTTGGTTACCTACTTGTCAAACTGGGTTCACAGCACTGTAAAAAGCCACAGGACACAGGGAGATGTCATTAACAAGTAGTGTCCTATAGCCAGCTCACAAGCCTTTCTCCAGCATTCAAGAAGGGGTTGTTTAAAGCTTCTATTTCCTGCCACAGAGAGCACGATTAGTTGGTATTTTCTTTGCAACATGTGTTTACCTCATTATCATACTTACTTTCCACTGCTACAAAACTTCCAATTCTGTATTCACCTAATAAATACTCTTAATTTATGGAGCATCAATGCCCGAAGGCCTGTGACTACCTAATATTTGGGCAGCTGGCTGCAAGATTTTTTTTTTTTTTTCAGTTCTATGTGTAAAGCAATATATATTTTGATACCTGTAAAGCAACACATTCTGCTGTTCTGGGCCACAGAATTATACATGCACACTCAGCATGGCTGTAGATGAGGTATGTAGATGGGAGGTAGGATTATTTTTTACATTCTGAAAATGAAATGCTATCTTAGGAGCTCTCAGTTTCATTATCAAAATGAATGTGAGGTAAGATGTGAAAAACATTCTTTAAGGAAATGTTTATATATTTGCTTAATCGCGCTTTTAAACTGAGGAAGTGTTTTGTTGATTGTGCAGCTGTGTGGATGTATACGC